TGATGTCTGGAATCAATTTCTGGCCTCTACATGTCGTCCCTTTTCCAAAAATGCCCATGTTATAGGGTATTTGACAGTTTTTATTGAACTGATGGTCGTCATCTTGGATTCCAAAATGCTGTCTGGCATAGACAAGTCATCCTCTATCCGGAAATAACCATATTGTAGGGTATTTAACAGTTTTTCTTGAATCAATGGCCATAATCTTGGATTCCAAAATGACGCCTAGCATCGGTTTCCGGCCTCTACACGTCTCCTCTTTCCGAAAATACCCATATTGTAGCGTATGTTAGATTTTTTTCTTGAACTCATGACCGCCATCTTGGTTTTCAAAATGGCGTCTGGGATCGATTTCCGACCTCTACACGTCGTCCCCTTTCCAGAAATACCCATATTGAAGAGTATTTGACAATTTTTCTAGAACCGATGGTCGCCATCATCATCCCTTTTCCGGTTCCTGTCCTCACATTGCACAGAAATATCTTATATGGACAAGCTTTCCAGACATAACATATTAAGTAAGTTCTTGTGCACACTAGCACCGCGTAGTGAGAGAGTTCTGAAATAATATGACCACCATCCGAAAGGACTTGTGTAGTAGCCGTACTACTCTTCCTTAATTCCCATGTAAAGTACCATCCAATAATGGGCACATGACTAACATGTGTCAAAACCCAACAATATAGATTCATACTTCCTTGTGTGTGTCCTAGATTTTATGACACACTTTATGTATTCAAAACTGCGACCTCACAGTCAGCAGCTAAACCTTTTCCGTTTTCCGTATTTTGAGACCTTCGTAATTGTTACCACATGAGCATCAACAATAAACTCTATTTTACAAACATTGTCACCAACGCTTCGCTTCGCTCACCGAACTTGCCTTCTCCATATTTCGTTTCAATAAAATCATTCTAAGTTCACACCAAGAGTATGACTGACGTCTTACTAAATCCGAACTCCGATCCTGCCTCACTTGGTCACCTGAACAACTTTACTGATGGCCAGCTTCTCGAGATACAGTTTATATAGGAAGTACACATGCACACTAGCGCTAAGTAGTGAGAGAGTTCTGGACTAATATAAACACCATACAAAGGGACATGATCACCTGAACAACTTAGCTCAAGACAGCAACTTTCTATATGGCCAAGTTCACGAAATATTATATGTTGAACCTATGATGCATATATTATAGCGCCCGTCATAAGTAACTTAAAGTGAAGCGCCTCTAGCGACGTAGTTCCCAATTAAACCTGAGTCCAATAACACAGGCTTGTTGGTCTATCCCAGTAGAACAACTTAGTCGGAGACAGTTTAGCTTTATATATTGGAATAAATGAGATATTCCACCATTAGTGAAAATCCCATAAGCTGTGGGTATCCTTATTCGCGGTTCCTTATTCACGCTCCCGTTACCCCGGCAATAAGGATTCCTGACTGTACGTATCATTTCCGTGTATATAAGATGTTTTAGGTTCTCCAAATCGCTTTGAAATTAAGATCAAATGATCTACTAAATCAATCACGACTGAGACAATGCCCTTAGCATCAAAGCATGTCCTTGCAGATTCATAGAGCCTATGCGCAGCATTTACGATTAATTTATATGTAGGGTAAGTGCGTCAGTATTTGGCCCATGTGCTTCCCTAATTGACCCTATCTTAAATTTAAAATTTGATCATTCTTCTCCAAATTTATTTCAAATGTGTGTTATGCCCTAGGGCCAAAAATTGGAGTACTAGTGCTATTTATCCTTACTTACACTTACCCTTATTAAACTTCCAACATTTTTGAAATCATCGTGGTGCTCAGATCATTCCATTCAACACTTCATACATAACTGAGTCAATTTTCTTAGCATATCGAAGCTGATTTTTGGAGTCTATGCGCATAGTTTATTATGCACTTCCATGATTATAAGATGTTCTAGGTCCTCTAAATCCTGGAATTTAGATGAAATTATCTATTATATCAACCAAGACTGATACAATGTCAATAACAACGAAACATGTCCAAACAGTTTCCTGTAATTAATACACATCAGCTACAAGCAATTTCTGTGTATATTAGATGTACTAGAACCTCATCAACATACTGGAGTTCAGCTCAATTTAACTAGCAGACAATCATCGACTGAGTCAATGTTCTTAGAAACGAAACATATCCAAACAATTTCATAGAGTCCCAGCGCATCTTTTACGAACGATTTTCTTGGTTCAAAGAAAAAAAATCTCCCTGGAGAACATTATCTTCAAGGTCAACCAGATATTTCACGAGAACGTACGCAGTTTTATTGCACATTCCACTTTCATGGATAAAACATGTTATAAGTTCTTCGAGTTATCCATAGTTTCAGATCATTTGATCTAGTAGATTAGCCTCATTTATCCTAGCCTTTGTACCATTCGTGGTTGACTGAGTAAATCGTTTGATTTGATCGATTAAGAGACCCTGATGTGCACTCCATGAATCTAGTTGTCTAGTTGGTTCGTTGCCAAACAAATTGTTTTAGTCGTTGTTGACGTAGTAGATCATCTAATCTGAAGTATAGCAAGAGCTGAGGAACCTAGAACATCTTATATATGTACACGAAATTAATTGTTATTGATACACATATATACTCTATGGACTCTATGAGTACGCTTGAACGAGTTTTACTAGTAAAGACATTGTCTCAGTCGTGGTTGACCCAGTAGATCATCTGGTCTGAAATCCAGGACAGTTTGGAGAACCAACATCTAATAGGCATAAAAATGGAATGTGAATTTTGCGGATAAACATAATGAATCTATTGGGACTTGTTTCGTTGCAGAAGGCATTGTAACAATCGTGGTTGATCTAGTTGATCATTTTATCTGAACTCCAGAACGATTTAGGGAGCCTAGAACATCCAACAAGCATACAATTAGATTGTACATGATGTGCCAACGCTTGATGAACCTAGTTGGACATGCTTCGTTGCTAAAAACATTTAACCAGTGGTGGTTGATCTGGGAGATCATTTGTTCTAAACTCTCGGACGATTTTGGAGAACCTAGAACATCCAAAATACGTTAAATTGAATCGTAAAATATATTGTATGTCTCTCATTGAACATATAGGGGAATTTACGTATTCTCGGCGACCTAAGCAGCGACCTTCTTTCTATAGCCTTTTTCTCTAAGGAACGCACACATATGCAGTATTGGTTTGTTTACAATCTATTGCTGCCAGCTGCTCTAACAATTTCAGTCGAAAGAATTGTCAAAAACTGTTTTGAAACGCTTTTACAAAGCTCCAATCTTCTCTAGTGAGAGCGAGTATTGTCGGCAACCAGTTTTTCTTCGGCAACTGTTCCATTTGAACTGCATGTAAATCTGCTATTCTATTATCGGCAACTCGAAATCAGCTACAATTTGTAGTGCGTGTGTTTCATTTCAAGAAAACCCTGCTAGATTGCTTTTTCTCAGTGGTAAAAATATAGTCAAATTGAAGCTGAAAACATAAAAAATCGTTTGCATGCATTCAGCGAAGTGTTTTCGTAAGAAAATCCAGTGAAAATAGTGTTTCAACTTGGGTTGCCGAAAATAGTCTGTCATGCCGAAGCCGTCATTTCCCCTATCATATGCAAATCTAATTATTCTGAAACGACGATAATTTTCCAAGGTGGAAAGATCATGGACATTAAAAATGTGACATGTCTGTAAATCTCGATCTTGAGAAAAAAATCCATGATAAATTTGAAAGATTGTGAACCAATTTTTTAAACTCTAGATCTCTGAGACAAACAAATTAAGAAAATTGTGCGGCCTGGAATGATTTTATTCCTTGATTTGTTTTCCGTCGCTTTTGTTTTCCGTGCTGAGCATCAATGCTACCGACACCAGGGAGGCAGCTCCCACACCTGGACCATACCTATCTAGCCATCAACTTATGAACCGGGGACCAACGACTTTACTTCCCTTCCAAAGCCGTGATAAGAGATGTTATGCCTCAGAACATCCTGGCGGCGCCGACTGGGATTGAACGCAGGCCAGCTGGGGTGAGAGGTAATCACGCTTACCACTACACCACCAGCGCCGGTAACCTTGGAATGATATCTTGAAAATATAGGGAAAATGGATGTAATGTCGGCCTAAATGTCCCTAATTTGGGCCCATACATAAATTCAGCAATCGACTAAACTTTCAATAGCGACCAAAAATATCCATCAGTACCGTCCCAATGAAGCGTTCATCTAGATAAAGCTGATAAATAGCAGATTTTTAGCGATGGGCCCAATCTTAGATCCATAGGCCAGGATTAGAGCCATTACCCCTAGAATGTAAGTTCATAGTCCTAGAAAATTGTAATGTTTCTGAAACGTAGAAAACATTTTATGATATTGGAAAAGGATTTATTTTCTAAAAAAAAAATAAAATACAATTTAAAGGACTTAGAAAAGAACTCAAAATTTAGCGACATAATTTTTTTTCTTGATATTTGGACACTAAAGCTACCAAGCTTGAAAGATTATTCAAAATTCTAGTCTTTAGAAAATGCTTGGAGTATGAACCTTTTCCTATGCCATTTTTCAACATCTTGGAAAACTTTCAAGATCACGAAGTTAAAACAGGATATTGGGATCAGCAGTTTTTTTTTCGCAACCTCAGGAAATTTTTGTAAGTCAATAATATTGAAAATCTGATGACTCCTTTATATACTTGATATTAGATCAAATAAGGTTAGATACTGAATTAATGAATCCTTAAAGACTAACTGTTGCCAAATTTAGTATTTGAATCAAGTCACTTCAAAATTTAGTACAAAGAATAATAACTAAGTCGATCGATAAGTTCTGCTGCTGTGAGTGACAAAAAACCTCCGATCAATGATAACGGAAAATCAAAAATATGTGCACGGATGTAAACAAAAGACACCTTCCCTTCAAGCTGAAGGTAACAACAATCGGAAGAGAACCACACAGTAACGTCAAAGAAACTTCTAAAAGAGCGTCCGGAATGATTCAGAAAACTCACCTCATTTTTGGAGAACGCTCCCGAGCCGGTCCCGCCGGACGACATCCCGTAGTGTCGACTGGACGACGAGCGCCCATTGTAGATCGGTCGATTGTCCGTGGGTTTCACAAAGTTGGCATTACTGCTATTACTGTTGCTGCTACCGGTACTATTTACACTGGCACCAACGGCACTGTTGCTATTATTACTACTACTGTTGCTATTGCTATTGTTTTTTGGCGGAAGCGTTCGATGGTACTGCTGCTGCTGCTGTTGCTGCGAGGACATCGTTGTCGTCGACGGCGTTGGAAAGATCCCCGAGCCAACCAGAGGGCTAATGGTATTGGTGAGGCTATTTGGCATCTGCATCGTCGTAGGAGCATTGGACCGCGGGGTGGCCGGACTGGACGAGATCCCGATCACGTTATGTCCAGATGTTGCGTCCAGAATATGTCTCCGGGCGTATTCGAAGTTTCCGAGCTTCGATTGAATCTGCATGTCCATGTCGGATGGACTGAGCTGTGGGAGGGAAAAACAGAGAGAGAGAGAGGAGAAATAAGTGACGAATCAAACTCAAACTACCGCAAGTTAGTATGAATGATTTGAGGCACAAGGTTTATCTGATAATTTAAGTTGAGTAATTCAATACTCGGCACTCATAACGAACACTAGTAGTGGGAATCACTTAGGTTTGCAAGATCAATTAAATTTTCAATCATCTACTACCGCTATCTACTGCTTCTGCTTCTGCTGCCGTGCCGTGCCGTATTTTATTGCATTATCATTTTTATATGGCCAATTATAATCGCTCCATGTGTGCACTCTCGTGATAAATTGAATAAGGATGAGAGATGCCCCATACAGTGCCATCCGCTTGTCCGACGAGGGGTCCAAAGATGGCAACTCATTGGTAACCTAAATGGTAATTGGCATGTATTCAAAACGCAACTGCTTATGCAGCACTATTTACTTGCTTGACTATTCAAAAAATCGAAAACCATTTGACGTACCCCTCGGTTGCAAACCAATCGATGCAGGGGTCAATACACAATAAAGGTACTTTTTATGTATATGGAGAATAAATGCCACTCTACCACCTTATGGATGCGAATGTGCGAAAAGCTAAACCTAGATTTTAACCTGCATCGAGAGGCAACAGGTGTTCCGCAACTACACTGTACTATTCGAAAGCCTGCCAGAAGAAAGAGTCTACTCACTCCGCGTTCCCCATCACCTATACCTACACCGAGTACCGATTTGGCAAAACTACAACTGAAGCGCTAGCCAAAAGTTGTTCACCATAATCTGCGCTTTTCGGGGGGCTTGCGAGGCAAGGTAGGGTAGTTAGGTAAATAATGTACAGTTTCACGACGACGGACGAAACAACGCGAATCTCACCACTCGGTATAAAATTGTTTAGAAAAATCTAACTGAATTAATTGACATAAATGTATCGCCCTACGTTGGGGCTTCCCAAGCATCGTCCAGTCGCTGCTTGGTTTATCACGATGCTTCGTGAGCGCGAACAGGAGAGAGGAAGCAGGTCGGTGCTGGTGTAGGTGTCTGTGGTTGTGTTTCGATTTATATTGATTTAATAAAGCTGCTAGCCGCATCGTTCGTAGGATATAGATACCTACATATGACATGAAAGCCACCACCAGCTGAGTGGCAGCACCACGTGAGAGAAAGAGGGTAAACAGACAAATTGGTTGTGATGAGATACTTCGTGGGAAATAGAGAGTGGGCACTTTGAGCTATAGAATTGGTTTAGTTGGTGGTGGTTGAGGGGAAAAAAAGCACAGTAAGTGCACTTTTGAAGAGTGTTTTATAACACCAGGGTTTTGTTTTTCAATGCTTTGATGTTCGACTAAGCACGCAGAATGTAGTGATATTATATTCATGGTTGTAAATTGTAAATAGCCTGGCAAAGAAAACTGGATTCAAACAATCCATAAGTGAAAACCGAATTTCAGGCTCGACCCTCTCCACTTATAATGAAACTTTTCATTCAAATTTGTGCTGGAGTTTGGCCAATTGGACTCTCGCCTCATTTTTCAAAATAGTGTATTTGATTTTTTTTCCAATAAACCATGGTATGAAAACGTCTCATTTAATAAAAATGTCGTCTGTAAAGTTGTAGAAAAAAATATGATCTTTCTGGAAAACAATAAACTAGGGAAAAAAATCATTTTTTATTTTTGAAAAATGACAAGCATTGTAAAACATCTGCATTGTAGCAATGTCAAAGAAATTAAGAATACCGTCAAGTTTTCCATCTGGAATGGAAGTGCGGTGAAATTTTACTCAATTTGTAAGTCTACTAAGAATGCACTTATAGTTCTCCTTACAATATCTATTCAAAACTAAACAAACCACACCCTATGCAATTTGCGGTTCATGAGTTGATGGATCGATAGGTAGGGTCCAAGTGTGGGAGCTGCCTCCCTGGCGTCGGTAGCATTGGTGCTCAGCACGGAAAACAAGATCGACGAAAAACAAATCAAGGAAAAAAAAAAGAAACTACTGATAGACCTTATTTTCTTATTCAGAAATCTTATAACAGTTATGAAATTTTGAGCTAGTCTAATATTTTTCGAAAATTTGCTCTAGAGAAAAGAAAGGAAATTCCATGAAGAACTGTAAGAAGAATCCCAACGGAATGCTAAGCTAAATTTCATGGAAATTCCATAACAAAAAAGGCATGAGAATTCCTAGATAATTCTGTATAGATTTCTAAGATAATTTGGAGATGAACTCCAAGGAAATTCTTAGAAATATCCGAAATTTCAAAGAATAACTTTTAAAGTGAACTATGTAGGGAATTTTTCTTTCTTCTTCTTCGCATTTCAAGCTTATTGTATATCGCATATTAGCTTGTTGCGTGCTCTCAACTTAGTGTTCTAGATGCACTTCCACAGTTATTAATTGAGAGCTTTCAATGCCTGTACCATTTTTGCATCGGTATAATTGTGTGACAAGTCCAATCATACTTCTATGCCCAGGGAAGTTGAGGAATTTTCCAATCCGAAAAATTCCTAGACCGGACCGGGAATCGAACCCAGCCACCTCCAGCATGGTCTTGCTTTGTAGCTGCGCTTTTATCAACTGAGCTAAGGGAGGCCCCAAACTATGTAGGGAAATTGAAGCCAATTCTCGTGAGAATTATTAAGAATACTAAATAAGATAATTGTTTAGTAAATTCTAAGAGTGTTCAAAAAAAGATTCCCAAAGTGGTATACAGATAATTTACAAGGCTGTTGAGGATAAACATTTCAAGGAAATGTCAGTGAGAACCCCAAGATTATTCAGGGGAATCCTTAATGCAATTCTGCAGGCATCTCGAAACAATTCTAAAGAAATTCTTGTGAAAATTCTACACATATCCTACACCAGGCACAGAATTTCAAGATTCAGGATTTGGTAATGCTCTTCGACGAAATGTTTGACAGCGAAATTTCCTTCGGCGAAATAATCCACACTGTGTGAAAAATGCGCATTGCATTCAAATGCAAAAAAATAACACTTTAGAGCCCTAAACAACTGTAACCAACACCACTAATGTTGCATTGTAAAAGCATAGGTATTTGAAATTTGCAAAGTTCATACAAGGAAGTAGTAACGTGTTTTCCCAGAAGTAACAGTTATAGCTTTATCATTCTATTATAATTTTATTTAAAGTCTTCTTTGCCCATAAATTTGACTTGAAGAATGCTTTAGAACCCCGATAAAACTTGCAATGATACTTAGCATACGTAGTTTTTGTTATACACAAACAAACAAGAGCAGTGACATCTGATGGAAAATAGATACTGCAACTCTAAATGGTTAATTCTAAGCTATGCCTACTAAATATCATCAAAGAGGTCATCCGATTTCAATTTCTATGTTTCCATCTTCAATCAATTCACGAAACCATCCGCAGCTTTAACTATCGTCAATCCTACATCTACCGGAGCACAAGATCCAAACGACGATGACGACGCCGAGAGCTATGACAATTTTTCACCCTTTTGTCAACAGTTCCTTACGGGCATCTTATGCTCCCCATTCTCCTTGTGAAAAGTCTTCGGAAATTTGTAGTACTCCGACACACACACACACACCCACACTCATACACATCATGTGCAATCGCATCCCATCTACTCCAGTCTCTAGCCGCCTAGTCATTATGTGCCGGTGCGGCAAAGTGATGCTGCTGTTTGGTTGCAAGCAATTCAGCTTTTCATACAAGAAAACGAGTCCTCTCAACAACGACGACCGGAAAGTCTAGGACTGTGAGTAGTTTAGGGAGGCGAAAGGGAAAGTGAGTTCTTGACTTGAGTCGTTCAGTTCCGGACGTCGTCGTCGTTCCGGAATGTCTTTTCCCGCTAGGGTTCTGAATAGAATCAATTCTTGGCTTGGCTGGTCATGAGGCGGGTGAGGCGGGTAAGGCGGGACATAAGGGTAATGCATGCAAGGTGCATTTTACCCTTTGTGGGCACAGTTTAATGAAGGAAACCCGCAATGTAACAAATGCTTATAGAATTGAATGGTAAGTGTTTTTTCGGCTACATTAGAAATAATGAAGCAGGCATTTCAAGGATTCAAGTTTATATTAGCCATCTTTTAGAATTTAACTAGCACCATCTAGCTGTAAGCTCATTACCGCGCCATCACCTGCCGGAGATAAATACCACAGCTTGAAATTTAATTAGACTTTCAACTAATTAAAATTCAATTTCCATCGCATCAAACCAAGAAACGACACAATCGTGCATACAACAGTAGCTTCTATCACTTCTGCTCAAGATTTACAGCATAGCATCCAAACAGAATGATAAGAAGACGACCATGTCAGTGCGTTTCTGCCAATCAGTGCTGGGTGGTTCAAATTTCCCTGGAAGAGATCTGAGCTAGCCGGGAATCGGGAAACAACTGATGGCTCTTCCCGGGAATTCCAGCACTTTTATCCAGTGACTAGATATTTGGGTTTATCATAATGTTAATTTTTTAACATCTGTTGAACGATCCATGAAGAAAGTTTTTTCTCACCTCTCCAGGAAGTTTCTTCTGACATTGCTCAGAAGTTTCTCCTATTTTTCCTGGTATCATCTTCTTTACCCGGACTTCCGTATTATTTTGGTAGTTCCCTTTTAACTTGCCAAGTTGCCTTGGAAGATTCTCCCGATTTCTCCACGAAACTTCTTCTGACATCTCCCGGGAGTGGTCTTTACTTCCGGCATCACCTAGAAACTAGAAGATCCCTTCGAACTAGCACAGGATGTTTCTTTTAGCAACCTTCTTCTCCATGAAGTTTTTTCAACTTTTCTTGGAAGTTTATTTAGAAATATACAAATAAGGGTTTTTTCGGCTTTTTGTGGAAAATACTCCAGATTTCCTCCGAAGTACAATTGACAGGAAATTTCTGATCAATTGGAATTGTCTTCCAATTTCCAGTTGTAACCGACTACTTCCGGAAGTCAAATTCGGTTCTTTCGAATGATTCTTCCAAATTCTGGGGGACCAGAATTTTCATTCTA